GCCATCATAGCATATTTGTCGTCCAGCGGTCTCCCAGCACGGCCACGGCCTCCGACAAGAGCTCACATCGGCGACACCTTTGACGATGCGACGTCCAAGAAGTATGAGGGGCTGCTCGAGAAAAAATGGACCAGCGTCGTGCGATTACAGAAAAAGGTGCGTGCCACGGGGGTCTCTATCGCGACCCCACCATGCCGTCGTGTGCGCTCTCTTGGAGTTGGAGCTCGTCTGACCCGGCCTCGCAGATCATGGAACTCGAGACACGCGTCGCTTCCCTGCAGTCCGAAATCGACAACGCCACACCGACATCCCTCTCACGACGCAACCAAGACCCCTCGGCCTGGCTGCCCCGCGCCCAGGCCCGCCACACTCTTCAGTCGCACCGCGAACCCGTCACATGTGTTGCCTTTCACCCTGTCTTCTCGTCTCTCGCCTCGGGATCTGACGACTACACGATCAAAATCTGGGACTGGGAACTCGGCGAGCTGGAGCGGACTATCAAGGGCCACACGAACGCCGTGCTCGATGTCGACTTTGGTGGGCCACGGGGCGGTACACTGCTTGCCTCGTGCTCCAACGACCTGACCATCAAGCTGTGGGACCCCTCGGACGAGTACAAGAATATCCGCACACTGCCCGGCCACGACCACAGCGTCAGCTGCGTCCGTTTCATTCCTAGCGGTGCGGCCGGCGCGCCAAGCTCGGGCAACCTGCTCGTGTCAGCGAGCAGAGACACACGCACGTTGCGGGATATGGGACGTATCGACAGGGTACTGCCTCAAGACACTGAGGGGCCACGCCGACTGGGTACGTGACGTGTACCCTTCGCCGGACGGCCGCTTCCTCCTGTCGGTGAGCGACGACCGCATGGGTCGCCTCTGGGATATCAGCGCCGCCACGCCCGAGACGAAGCTCACCCTCGTCGGCCACGAGCACGTCGTTCTCTGCTGCGCGCTGGCTCCGGCAACCGCATACCCGCACCTCGCGCCGCTCGCGGGGCTGAAGAAGGCGCCCCCAGCCTCGAGCGGGACCGAGTTCATGGCTACCGGCGGCCGCGACAAGACGATCAGACTCTGGGACGGGCGGGGCAACTGCATCAAGGTCCTCGTAGGCCACGACAACTGGGTGCGCGACCTCGTCTTCCACCCGGGCGGCAAGTACCTCATCAGCGCGTCCGACGACTACACGCTGCGGTGCTGGGACCTGACGCAGGAGGGCAAGTGCGTCAGGACGGTCCAGGGCGTGCACGGCCACTTCGTCTCGTGCCTGCGTTGGGCGCCGAGCATCATCCGGGAGGACGCGTCTGCCAACGGGACGGGCGAGAACGGAGCCAACGGCACGCCGAGCAAGAGCGCGGCAGCGCCCGCCACGACGGAGCAGATTCGGTGCGTCATCGCCACGGGAAGTGTCGACATGAAGGTGCGCGTGTTTGCGAATTAGGCGGCGACGGCGGAGCCCAGGTCGAATCGTGGAAGGAAATTTCGAACCGAGGAACAGAAGACAAACCCAAAAAGGCGTCGTCACGGGAGGCAGAGATGGCGGCCCAAGCATTGAATCTGAACAACAGCACTGGAACGGCTCGCAGGGCTGACGCCATGATGAGAAATGAGATTAGATTTAGGAGCGGTTGTACATGACGGAAAAGATACCCGCATAATGCCGCTTTTGCTCTGTGCTCTCCGCTGCTGCTTTTGTATGTCGAGCCCAAGGCCCGCTTGTGAGAGTATCTGGCATCCGGGTCCACTGGTTGGGCCATACACTCGTGGCCACAAACGACAACAAGAGGAGCGGTATTCTCACAAAGGAAATGCATTGATGAACTATAATGTATGCCAAGCTGGCTCGAAGGAAATCTTCCAATCGCATGCTACCGGGGTATATCAATCTGTCCGTCCTCCGCTGCCTCCCCAATCACACCAACTTCCCCCTTGAAAACGGCTTCACTTCGCGCGTGCCGCCTGCGTCCTCCGCACCTTTCCGGTGCTCGACGCTCTCGATACGTCTTGCACGTAGTGTCTCCTCGCAGCCTGCCGCTGCTCGTGGTCGTTGTCGGCTGAACCAGAGCACGTAGGCTCCTAGCCGCTCAGGTGAACCTCGGTCCTGCCACTGCGATGATACGTGGCAAGGGGAATGCCGCACTAGATGTCCCCGGTTAGTTCGGCAATCTTCTCCCAAGCTGCATCGGGAGACGGAAAGGGCGAGACGACGACTTACCTTGGCGCACTTATGCGTCGCATCCTTGAGGCTCGTGAAGAAGTAGGGGATACAGCCTAGGCAGGTCACGAAACACACCAAGGCACCGAGGGCGTGGGTGAAGCCGCCAGACGAGTACTCGACGGCCGTGATGCCGCTGTGGTGGCAATTGGGACAGTTGATTGGCGCTGGGTGGGGGCCTAGCGAGGCGATGGGTGTGCCCTGGGGGCCGTGAGGGTGGCCACCAAAGCCGGGACCCGGGCCAGGGCCGTTCATGTTGTTCATGGGATAGCTGTTCTGCGGGGCAGCGCCGCTGTGAGGAGGAACGGCTCCCTGGTCGTGAATGCCGTGGCGGTCATTGATGTAGTCGGGTGGCGGTGGGCCAGTCGAGTCGACGGGTACGGGCTTTGGCTCGTAGGACATGTTGGCAACAGGGTGGGTCTGGTCGAGAGGCTGCTGTGATTGTTCGTCCTTCTTCTTGGAGAAGAATGGCATGCTGGAGAGGAAGTGTGTAGATACCTTAGGTTAGGGGGTAGGTGGGCAAGAACTGTTGACAAGGGATGTAGAGATGGTTGTTGAGGAAAGTTGACGATGAAAGGCAAGCTGTCAACCAGCAGATGGGAATTGGGGCAGTCTATTGTATTAAAACAACCCACTGAAACCCACTGAATCAAAGCAGGGACCCAGGGCCAAGGTTAATTTAGGGAAGCCATGTTGCCTCCCAAACCGAGGGCTGCCAAGGAAGGCCTCCCACGTCCCTACATCACCCTAGTAGCGAGTCCGCCTCTTGCCTCTGCTTCTGGGGAAACTACAGGGACTCCAAGACCGATCCCACCGACGTCTGAGTACCCATGTCTGGATTGCCCAGGTGGGTAAGGGAGGCAGTGCCACATGATTCTGGCTTGTCTGGGTCACTCAAAGGTTTATTGTGTGTCCAGGCGCCGGGCGAGGGATTGCGGATCGTGATCCTTCGACATGGTACTCTCCTGGCTTTTGCTGTTTCTTTATTCCGCCTGCCGGGGCTCACATCAGACCCAGATTATACAGCGCTCCTGCCGGGGCTCTGCAATTATGCGAGAATAAGAACCAAGCCATCTGAGTCTTCACTTCAGCTCTGTCTTGAGTTGACTCCCCCAAGCCGATCGACGCGACCCTAAACATGGTTGGGACGGAGAAAAAGGAGGCCTTCCAAGCGCCGAGACGGATGAAGTCATCCAAGGGTCCTGGACAAGCGGCAGGGGCAACCTACAAGGTGACGTCGCTCGGAGACTCGTCATTGGTCAGTCAATTCTGGGGCTGTGGCGGTGCCAAGAATGCGCCACGTTACCCTGGTCGACGTTGCCACGCCGCTGTGCTTCAGGCAAGCCAACTGCACTGCAATCCAACACGACCACTGCTCCTCGGCTTGTAGAGCAAGACATGATGGCCGTAAATGTATTCTGTGAACGTCGGTGTCTGTGTTCCTCAAGGCTGCCATGGTAGGCCTTCCACTTTGATCCTAGACCAAACGCTGATTGGAGCTGAGACGTTTGCCAGAATCTTACCACCCGTACTCTTGCAATGCCTCGTCACATGGCATCATAAGAATAGCCCAATCGTGATATCCGTGGCATCCTCATTCGTAGCTTACTGTACACGAAATCACGGCAGTACGGACATACATTATAGTACACGGCTGACCACGCAACATGCCCCTCTCAGATTTGCTTCGAACCGCACAACCCATCGCATCATGCGTCACTCCCATCACACGCTCGTTGGCTTCTGCACCACAACCTCCTCCTCATCCGGATCCTCGATGCTCGTCCGTCGCTTGGCTTCAACTGCCTCCTGCACCCTGTTCTCCCGCGCTGTCATTGGTCCGACGTCTTCTCCGCTGCCCTCTTCCTTCTCCCTCTTGTCATCATGCAGCTCTGCGCCGGCCGTCTCATCCTTCTCGTCCTTGGTCCCGAATGGCCACAGCCCGTTGAAAGCCGTCTTGCCCTGCACCTGGCTGCCCCCGGGATGCACGGCCAACGGCTTGAGCAGTACCTTCTCGTTGGGATCCGTGCCGGGCGCTGACTCAACCTCGGGCATGGCAAAGTCGCCAAACTCCTCGTCATCGTCGTCGCCTTCACGCTCCGAGTCTGAATCCTCCGCCGTTTCGAACCGCTCGTTCTGCTTTCTCCGCACCATGCCACGCCACCAGGAACCGCGCGCCGAGGCACCCCACGTGTTCGTCACCGCATTAGCTGTTCGGCCTCCCGAGCGCCCATCATCCTCGTCGTCGCTGTCGACGTCGTCGTCCTCGTCATCGGCAAACGGATTACGGTTTCGATCAGGTTCGTCGCGCGACCCGGGCCGGTGAACGTCCTCATCCTCACCGTCGTCTCCGTGCCCGTCACCGCCACCACTGGATTTCTGGTGCATGGCAAGCCGCGCCGCCAGCTGCAGACGAGCCCGCGAGGGCGGAATGTTCAGAGGAGGCGGCGGAGGCGGCGGCGGCGGAATCGAAGGAGGGTTCATCGATGTCGATGACGATGGGTTGTTCAGCGGGTCGGTATAGGCTCGAAACTAACGCGGCTGTGTCAGCATAAAGAACAGCCCAGATAATGTGCTTGAAGACTGAAAGGAAAACCCATCCACAGGGCGATTCATTGTCGTGGAGCCCACAAAACCCGTACACCCTACTCGTACAACAACATAGCCCCAGCCATTCATCTCATTAACCCGCTAACATTACAGGTCCCCGTCTTGAGAATTGTCCAGGACACCCATCAACAAACATCCCCATTGCCCGCAACGCCCCCCTGCGTGTTGCCCCTCGTCTCTCTCGTCTCGTACTCAAACAGGGCACCGCTCATGTCGTCACATGCCGTGGCTTCACGGTTGCCATGTTTCAGATAGGCCTCATACTCATTAGGGAGCTGCCTGTGGTTGAGCATGGTTCCTGCACTTTTGCCATGTGTGACTCACGTCGGGATATTTCGTAATCCATGCGTCCCAACCAGGAGGACCAGCACGGCATGCGTACTACGCTTGACCTCTGGCAGCCTCGTCCTCCGCGTCCAACCCGTCGGACAGGGGATAGCGGGGCGGTTCTGCCGCCGTGTGATGTGAACTCCAGAAGTCGGAACTCACCTCGTTAGCAACGTCTTCATCGTTGTCATCTGCGTCGTCATCGTCTTCGTCACTGGAGCTCCCGAAGCCTGACATCAAAGTGCCGGCGCTGATAGCGAATGGCCCAATACCGTTGTTATCCTGCTGTTCGAGGCCACCGTTGAGGCCAGCTTCGGCCAGGGCATTGGAGCCACTGTTGCTCTGTGAGTTGCTGTTGAAAGACGAACCCAGCCCGGACAGACCAGCCGAGGCAAGCCCGTTGCCGGACACACCGGCACGGTTGCCTAGTGCGACTTCGGGCCGCACGCCTCCCAGAATTGCGTTGTCTCGTTCCCTTGTCTCGGCAAGGGCGCCCTCGACATAACTGATCCAGTTCTGATCCATGACGCGGTCGAGGACAGTTTCAGACAGCAGCTCGGGCGGATGGCGTTCCGTAAACTTGACCACTTCCTCGGCGATCAGAGTTAGATGGCCCATGTAGCCCATGCGTGTCTTCATCCTGGCTTGCGACTCGTCGCTGGCTAGCTGGCCGTTGATGATGGCAGTAGTAATGTCGGCGGCCTCAAACAGCGAAATGGCCAGGGTTGGGTTGAAGCCACGGTCCATGGGACCATTGAAAACCTGTTGCACAATATCATAGACAACGTTATGCAAGAAATTGTTCCAGGGGTAGCCAAAGAAGAAGGACTGCGTATCGTTAGCTATGGTCCGCTGCTGGGGTTTGGAGGAGAACTTGGTTGAGGCTGGACTTACGAGAATGCTGGGAACCACACGATACTCTACGAACTGCATCTTGAGATAATCGCCAACAACAGGGCTCAAGTCTTCCTGTTCCGGTCTCTGGGGGATGGCTGGGGGTTCCGTGGGCGGTGAAAGCGGTCTCAGAATCGCTTCACCTGTCGTATTCGTTTCTCCAGTCGTCACGTCTTCAACCGAAGAACTGGGAGGCGTAGCGGCATCGGAAACCGTTGATGCCTCGGGTGCAGGCGGCGCCGGGAGTGGTTTGTCCGTGTCGAGCTTGTCGACGGTTGTCAACTCCTCCTTGTCGATCACAGATTTGGCAAACAGAGGAGCGGGAACATCTGCTGCGTTGCTGACGTGGAGGGACGCGGGTGCCGCCTCAAGGGGTGCGGGTTCCTTATCTGAGGGCAGCTGTTCTGGCTCGGATACAGTGGGAGTGTATGTGACGGACGAGTCAGTTTCGTCACCCTTGGCACTCTGGTCGTCAGAAGAGGCGCTTGAGTTTTTGTCCAAGTCCAGCTGTCGCACTTGTACAGTGGTCTTGTCAAGCAATTCGTCCGCTGCATCGCCAGAGGTATTCTCGCCGGTTCGATTAGCAGCTACCTGCGCAGCTTCCTCAGGCTTCTGAACAAGCTCCTCAAACTCCTGTTTGGATTCTGATTCTGCCGAAACTGCTGGTGGAGTCTCAGTTGGCGGTGCGGCTGCCTTCGCTTTGGTTGGTGACAGTGGGGCGACGACGAGGTCGGGGTCCTCAAAGAGAGGTTCTGTGGCCTTAATGTCCGCAACTGCTGGTTTTGGCGAGCTAAGGGGTTCATCGACGAAATCGTCGCCGTTCTTCGCCAGGAAGCTGGATGCTGCGGGCGCAACGGAAATCTCTTCCTCGGCTTTGACAAACTCGTGCGACGTGTCTTCATTCATCTCGCGGCTGGGTTCGACTTCTTCGAAACCGTCGTCATCCGAGATGTTGGTCACCTCGAGACGTCGTCCTTCTTCGGGCGAAGACTGGCTGACGCGCATTGTCATATCCTCCATGGTTGACGGCGCTTCCTCGCCCCTATTAGGAGACAGTTTGCCTTCAGTTCTCAGCCGTTGGCGCTCAGCATCTCTAGTCGCAATGACTTCCTCGGAGCCGACCTCGTTCAGGAGACCCATATTGCTGCAGTGAAGCAGCTCGGCCATGAGCTCGCATGTCTTGAATCTGTCGAAACCCAACGGTTCGATCTTCTCGCCGAAGGTTGAGTTGATCTTTTGCTTGTGCGAAGGTGCGTGCATGATCAGGTTGACGAAATCAGGCACATGCTGAGCGAAGAGGCGAAGTAGCGTGCCAAGGTAGATCGGATCCCGACTCGACGGAACGGAGTGCGTCTCAGCGCCGACGTCCGGATCATAATCAGAGTTGTTCTTTCGAATCACCTCGATGACGATACCGACGCCCACTGTTAGAGGGTTGCCTCCGCTCAGCATATACTTGATGAGTTGCTCCACACACTGGTGAGAGACAAGTTGCCTGGTCAATTCATTGGGGCCAATGCACTGCTGGTCATTCTGTGAGGCGTTTGCCGAAATAGTGATGATGGCCTTTATAAAGTCACCAGCCGCTGTTTGGACAACCCAATTGTGTTCGGGCCCCAGACATGACAGCAAAGTAGGAATCACGTCCTGAGAGTACAGCCACTGTTGACAATATTAGCAAAAGAGCAGGTGGAGGAAAATGCGCACAATTCACCTCCACGATCCCATGTCCGCCTTCGGTACGGTCGAGAGCGATGATCTTGAGCAGGAGGTCCATGATCATGGGACATTCGACATGACGAAGGAGATCGGCTGTTGCGTCAGGGAGTGACTTGAGCAAGGCGATCATTTCCTCCGTCTTCTTATCAAATAAGGCCTCATTGACCTTGGTGAAATAGCTGGCCTGGAGGGGGTCCAAGGGTGTCGGGCGCTTCAAAAAGGTCCAAAAGTGTCGCACCAGGGGTTTGTTCTCCATCATGGCTTCATGGATGGACCAAGCGTCAGAAGAGAGGACCTCGGCAGCCACGTAGGCGTACCGATTGCGCTTCTTCTCTGACTCCTCCTCTGCATCGCTTTCGGAAGCCTTGGAAGAGGCTCGTGGGCGCGAAAAGGGGCGCAGGAGACCCTTGCCTTTATTATCTTCATCTTCCGTGTCGTCGTTCTTAGGCGGGGCAACAACTTCGAGCTTTGGTGCTACAACGTAGGCCAGGAGCTTCTGGAGGACTTCATCCTGGCGGAGGTAATCTATGAGTTTCGCATTATGCTGCTTGAGCTCCTGAATTAGATCGCTCTCGTCGAGTAAATCCTCAACCGTGAACTCGGGCTTCTCTAGGATGGTATCGATTGTGGAAATGTTGGCGTAACCGCCAAATCGCCAGAACATGGTGACGGTTGTGGCGGGCCTCGTGGGTCACAGCTCCGGCGAGACCGTTCCGGGGCTGTCTAGACGGGGTATATCGTTGTCGGGATTGATTCGGCTGTGCGGCGCAGGGACACGTGCGACTCAGCGAGGTCCTGACGAGCGACAGCAGCTGCGTTCAGGTTCTTCGATAACTCGTGTCTATACGTTCGTCCTCAATGATATAAAAGGCCGGGTTGGGTATCGATCTGCCGCTGTAGATGTAATCAGAACTGCGACCATGTGTTAGCAAGAGGTGAGCACTGCGGGGTGCGGCATTAGGACGCCTTCGTCGAGTGTAAAATGCCCAGTGGCTCCGCAGCCTTGCAGATTGAGGCAGCAGTGCTGCAAAGTATGGCAATCGGCATAGTCCGCAGTAGAGACAGGTCCATGGGCGAGATGGATGGGGTTCACTGCACATACAAATGAAGATATGGTACAGAAGTATGTCCTCTGAAGCAATGTTTGTCGCACAAATCGACGTTCGCGGGGCGGTGCGCCGATCTGATTGGAAATTCCGGTCCTCGGTCGCCGTCAGTTTGTTAATCCGAGGTCTCGGGGAGGCCTTTGTCCTCTGTTGTTGTTGCGTTCGTGCAGAGAATGATTGCGCGGAAAGGCGTCGGGCAGTCAAGCAGTCAAACGATTCTTCGTCGTGTTTTGCAGACTCCAGGTCGGCGGAGATGAGTCAAAAGACGTCGTTGGGTCAAGGAGGGTTGGAATCGCTCGCTGTGGGATGCAGAAGGTGTAGCGTGATGGTGACCAGATTGGGCCGCCAGAGAGTAGCCAGTTCGTCAAGGGGGGTGGTTGGCACTGGTCGCACAGTCCGATGACTGAGACGGGCTCAATGTGGGTGTGATGAGGGTGGTGCCTTGACCTGGGTCTCACGGTGCTCCGAGTCGAGGTCACGGTGGTAGTGAGGAGGCACTGGCAAGTTGTTTCTGGTTGGGCTGAAGTGCAGTGCCAGCGTGGGATGAAGGTCGCTAGCGCTGGGCTTACCTAATGTAGGTGATGTATGTATGTGTGAGGAGACGATTGGGGGGTGTCTGCGGCGCCTCTGAACCTCGAGGATGAAAGGTGAGGGAGAGGTCGATGTGGAGCGACCAAGTGGGCGAGAGGGCAAGGCAATTGAACCGACTCGGGTGGGTAAAGGAGAAACAACCAGGCATGTGCGATCGATCATGTTCCGCAAAAGAGAAACAGGCTTGTTTCTTGCGACGGCCAGAATTGGGAACTGCTGCTCGGCAATCTCCTCCCTTTCGCTGCCTTCGCCGTACCAAAGGCAAGGTTCGTACCTGGCCTTCTGATACCTTCCCGCGTGTGTTGCCAGGGATCATGAGTCGGAACATTCGCCGAGGTAGTTTGGCACCAAGTCAATGCGAGCAGGTACTTATGAGCATGTCACTGACCCAAATCAATAGGGGGCACCTGCTGTCTGCCTCCCCGCCCACGCGTCAGCACATGCCACGCTTGCACACGACAATTACATGTCGAGGATGACGGCATGGTATGCGTATCTCCCTTCCTAATTCTAGGTAGCCTTGCATATGTCCAAATATGAACATAATCACCGATACTGAATGAACAGATAGGGCTGAGAATGCCTCTCAGTTCAACACCGCACCGAGCAGCTTGACCGACGTAAAGCCCCTTGATGAGGCACCTAAGCAACGGTACCAAGGTACCTAACACTCTCATCCGCTGTGTGTGTGTGGGGGGGGGGGGGGGGGGGCCCGGTTCACCCTGACGAATGCGTCACGTGAAGATAGGACGGCCGATAAGCTCATTGACCGTCTCCCTACCTCGTACCTGGCAGGCAGTACATAGTAAAAAGAAAGTCACGTCACGTCCTGCCTTGAAGGGCCTCTCCCAACGCCACCTGGTCTACGCGCCCCTCCTCGCACAGCACACATCTGATGGTGCCAAGGAATCAGCGACCATGTCTGCGTTTCCTATGTTCGATCCCTCTCGCCTCACGAAGAAGTCTGCCGCTGCGCAATACTCGTCTGATTCTGAGGAAGACAACGACGACGAGTTCACCACCTCGATTGTCGATCCCGCCGCTGGAGATGACTTCCATAACTCGAATCCACGGAAACGACGTCGCGTTGGGGAGTCCAAGGACCGCGCAGCTTTGGGTATCTTTGCCTCTGACAGCGAGGATGACGGCCCGGGCAAACGCTGGAAGAAGAAGACGCTTCGCGGCAAGGGCATGAGTTTCGTATCTACAGGGACAATGGCCAACGCCCAAGACGAAAAAGAATATTCGGACGACAGCGATCGAAACGGACCACCAGCAGCCGAGGATGATGACGAGGAAGAGGAAGAGGAAGAGGCCGCTGGGGTTGGCCTGGGATTTCGGTCAGCAACGTATGGCGGGCTCGGCTTCGCACCGGCGACTAAAGACGAAGATACAGAGATGCAGGGTCAAGATGGTACCCCATACAAGCCTTCCTTCGTGAAAACAAAATTTGACGGGCGCAACCCACTGGGCCGTGGGTTCGTACCATCATCAGCGCGACAACCTGTGTTGACAAACTTCGAGGATGATGAGAAGCCGAAGAAACCGACTATTGCACGGCCAAGTGCTTTTGCGCCGTCTCGAGACGGCAAGGGCAACACAAGCAAGCCGAACCCCAAATCTTTTGGGGCGCGCATGATGGCCAAGATGGGCTACGTCGAGGGTACCGGTCTTGGTAAAGAGAGCCAGGGACGAAACGTCATCATTGAAGCCAACCTTCGACCTCAAGGTGTTGGTCTAGGTGCGGTCAAGGAAAAATCCGTGTCTGAACGGCGTGAAGAGAAGCGGCAGGCCGAGCTGCGCGGCGAGGTCGTCATCGATTCGGACGAAGAAGAGAGGAAGAAGAAGCGCGAGAAGAAGAAGAAGCTGGGCGCCAGTGGTGTCAGCAGTGGTACCAGTACTCCTCGACGACAGAAGACGGCATTCATCACGGCAGAGGAGATCAAGAGGACGGCACCCGGTCTACACATTCCTGATGCTTTTGCGCCCATTCTCGACATGACAGGCCCAGGCAACAAACTTCTGACATCGGCCTCTGGATTGTTAACACCCACATCTGCCGCCGCGCCTGAATCGGCTGAAGCGATAGAAGCACGCAAAATAGTCAGGCGAGCACATGCCGACTTGGCGGCTTTCTCGGAGGAATGGCGGAGTCTCGAGGAGCGGAAGAGCTGGGTCGAGCTAGAGCTGCGACAGCACGAACAGGAGACAGCAGACTTGGCCGCTGACCTGGAAAGAATGCAGGTGTTTGCCGGCATCGTCACTAACGAGCTGCCGGTGCCACCGAGTGGCAAGACAGGATCCGATGTCTTCAAAAGGCCATCGATGCCGTTGGCCCTCCCAGTAGCGAGGTCACGGATATCGCCGTGTCAGCGATCCACCCATTCTTTCGCGACCCAGACTGGATTCTGCTGGAAGAGCCGGAACGCTTTGCTACCGAGCTTACGATATGCGTGGCCTTCTGACCAAGTCTGCAACAACGAGAGGACCATGATCAACTGAACGCCACGGCGAACGGCCTCAACGACACGGACCTTTATCGCCAACATCACAAGCGCAACAACACCCTATGAGACTATGATGTACAAGCTTTGGTACCCCAAGGCCAGGGGTGGCATCCGAGACTGGGACGTGTACGACCCTGCACCCCTTCTAGCAGTGCTAGAGGCATGGAACTCTCTACTGCCAGCGTTCGTACGCGCTCAGTTCCTTCAGGACGTGGTACGGAAGCTGGAGACAGCCGTCAGCGAATGGAACCCGCGCAAGAAGCGCCAGAGCTACAAGCTCCCTCACCTGTGGCTTTTCCCCTGGTTGCAGTACCTTCCGTCCTACCATCTGGATCCAAAGAGCACCGGCCTTGTGGCCGATGTGCGGCGCAAATTCAGGCAACTTGTTGACGTGTGGGAATTTGACAGGGGCGTCGTGCCTGGTCTCACGCAGTGGCGCGACGTTCTGGGAAGTCAGTGGCAGCCGCTCATTATGTCGCATGTTTTGCCGAGCATGGGGCGCTACCTGCGGGAGAATTTCCGCGTCGACCCTGGCGACCAAGAGCCTTACCTCCCCATGCTCACAGGGACGCTTAAGTGGTCCAGCGTGCTGGGATCCAAGGTCCTGGCTGAAGTCATCGTGGCCGAGGTGTTCCCGCTCTGGCACGACAAGCTAGGCGAGTGGCTTCAGCTGGAGGAGGTCAATCTTGAGGAGGTGTACGCATGGTACGAGTGGTGGAGGGACCAAGTGTTCCCAAAGGAGTTGGCCACGCTGCCTGTGATTACAAAGGAGTTTGACAAGGGATCACTGACAATCGAGAGGGCGCTTGAGAGGATGTAGCGAGCAGAGGAGAGCGCCAGGAGACAGGCGCCGCAGAGTGCAATAGATACCCAGAAACCACGAGTCTCCCAATCATGAACATTGACCCAAGGCGAAACAAGTACAAGCAAGCGAAGTTGAAAATGCAGAGGCGCCCAACGACCAGGAACAACGCAGAGTGATGGAAATCAAACGACGCATGAATCAAATGAGATCACGGCGTCCGGGGCAGTTCCGAGCAGTGGAGTCCACTAGGCGCTTCCAGCTCTCTTCGTGTGAAGGACCACATCCACGCCAGAGAGGGCGCTGGCTGGTGTAGTCAACATTGGGTTTTAAAGCCTTGTGGCTTTCCCCCCGTGTGTTTTGGGGCGACACCCCGGCCGGGGAGATATCCAGACTAAGGGTATGCCGACGTGACTGGTGGTTGGCGTCGAGACCAGCCGGGACAGGGATCAAGCCCTGCAGGATGAAACGATAATAGCAACGACGCCACGTCGGGCGACTTTCTCAGGTCCATTCTCCTCCTCTGGCGCAATGGAGTGGCTTGCGTTCAGGATATCAACCCGGGTTGGGGGGTCTGCAGGAGTCACATCCTGAAGCTCCAGTCTGAGAGCTGGCGGACAACATTCCGATTGTGGTTCGACAGAATTGCGGCGAGAGCCTGTGAGCATGCTACATGCTAGAACTGCTGCTCTCCTGTATGCTCTGCATCAGCTTGGTCCTGGCAGAAATGCCCTTCTGCTACTCGATCGGACGTTGGTACAGTTGGAGAAAATGAGGAAGAAGGAAACACAAATGGCAACACGGAAATGCACCCATTGCGCCTTCGTCGCAGGTTTGAACCGGGGAACGGCGATCAGACCCGATGGACCCAGGGCTGGCTGGCTGGGCGCTTCTACGACTGTCCCAACCCTGGCTTCCTGTCGCCTGCAATTGCATCCTACGGGCATTTACCAGACGATCGGTGGGATCTTCGCAACTCCCCCACCCAGTCGCGAGCGGAACGTGCCTGTGATGGCGGCTCCCGAGCTGCTTGTTGTACCATTCAAGGGCGTTCCTTCGTATGCATCGGGCTGAGCTGGACAGGTGATCGAGATCTTGATTGACCGTTGTTTGAGCATGATGATGCCCATGTGTCCAAACATATCCTAAAAGTATCCATGACGATCGCAGCATATCGTTTGCACGCATTTGCACGCATGACAGAATGATGCTTCTTTTACATTTCAAACTTAAGCTCATCATCTCCAACCCAGCAGTAGTTCCCGTCATTAAGTGCCATCTGATTTCCCTGTTGACTTGACCAGACGGTTCCACCATCCACACACGACCCTGCCTCTGCAACAGCACGCGGCGCTTGGCATCGTCTCATCACAGTCCCAAACATGGGGGGCTTCGACCAGGGTGTCGGCACTTGAGCCCACATGCGCAGGACCAACAACCAGCAGTAACACTTAGCATCGTCTCAGTCCAGCGCATGGCCAGCTTTGCAGGCTGCTGCTGGAGCAGGCCCTTGTCTCTCGTGTCCCTGTGGCCGATGCGTACGGGCCTGCATCCGAACTTGGCTGAGCTGCCTTGGATTGTACGGCCAGACTCTGGGATCTCGCCACTACCCTGGTTCACTGCCTGGGCACCTACATATCATCGGCCGCTCGCCTGGCCTGGTTACCACATGGCTTTATTTCTGAAGTCTCGAGTCTTCCAGGGCTACGGCGACATCGATTTGCCAACCTCTCCCGCCACATTCCTTTCGTGCGTACGCCTTGAAGGCTTCGTTCCTTAGCCCAGGCGGTTCTTTTTTTCTTCCGTCCAGTTTGATTTCCTTCGAGACGAATTCCAGGCGGGTTCCTGGCAGAAAGAATTATTGTAATCATGTCAGAAAGATCGTGTCCCGTGTCCGGCTCCCTCGGTGGAAGATGTCCGGCTGGCAACGGTTCCGTTGCTGGGAGTATCTCCAGACAGCGCGTCGGTCCACGAGGCTGTTCCTTTTCGGGCTACACGCAACCGGGCGATCTTCACTCTGCCTTTGATGTAAGTTTTGGTTGTAACAAGGGTCAAGAGAAACTCCCGGTCACCTGCTGACTCGACGACCTCAGATTCCCCGCGGTGTCGACGTAGACGAGTGGCTACGTGACCGCGAACGCAAGGCCATCAACGAGATTCTTTATTCAGACATTCCCTCGGCCAACTTTGTCGCTCAGGTCAAAAACGTCGACACTCTTGTCGCCGATGACAAGGACCTGCTTGCCGTCGCACTCGGCGCTCCCGCTCGCCAGGTCATCCTTCGCGCCGAGAGCATCGGCCAGCGCACAGGGTGGAAGGACGGTTATCTCAGCGGCGAGTATGGCTTTTGCGCCCCAGACTCAAACGAAGCCGCCGGGGCTCTCGCTGGATGCCCCGGCCGCGTGTGGTCCGATCTTTGCGAACGCATGCCCGGTTGCGTGTCCCGAGGCCGTGTGCGTGAGTCCGTCGCCGCTCTACCCCTCGTCGAAGGCACTGAAGACACTATTCCTGACCAGGCTCTGTGGGCGGCGATCGTCGCTCTGGGCATGCTGTGCTCGATCTATCGCTACGAGGACAAGAATGACGGTTACGACGGCGTCAGCACCAACACGACATCGACCAAGCCCAACGTCGAAATGAGCGATGATCTTGGCCCCGAGCTCATCGGCATCCCGCGCAGCATCGGCCTCCCCTACTGGCAGGTCTCCCGCCGCATGGGCCGCGCCATTCCGCACCTGACCTTCTTCGACCAGGCCTCTCACAACATCCGCGTCCGCGACCCGACCTCGATCCACCCTTACGTGGGACGCTTCGACAACACCGACCTGCGATGGCCCATGTTTGGCGAGCGCACCGAGATAGCCTTCCTCAAAGGCTGCGCCGACACATCAGCCTCGTTCCAGCACGGGCCCGACGCCATCGCCGCGTGCCAGGAGCATGTCATGAACCGCAATATCGAGGGTTTGCTGCGCGAGATGGTCCGCCTCAAAGAGATTCTCGAGCGCATGCCCAACGCCTTCCATTCCATCTCGACCAACCCCAACTCGGGTGACAACTTTGTCTCAGCCATGGAGTGGGTGCGCTGGGGCAAATTCTCAGCGCCTCTGTCAAAGAGGTGCCCTGCTGCGTCGGGACTTCAGTTCCCGCCCTACCTGCTCATGGACGCTTTCCTCGGAAGAAAGAGATACGACTCGTTCCTCGGCAACGAGGGCCTTCACCTGCGTGCGTGGCTGCCCTCCAATCTGCGGGCTTTCATAGCTGCCGTCGAGTACCACTACCGTATTCCCGAGTTTGTCAGGCAGTCGGGCGATCCCCGTCTCATGGGGGTACTGGACGGCATCATCGAGGCCTACACGGGCGAGCGTGGCTTCATGGGCACCCATCGGTACAAGGTTTTCGGCATCCTTGAGGTCGCCTCTAAGACGGGCCGCACCGAGACCAACGGAGCTTCTGGTGCCGCCGATGGTACGGGCCGGCCGTGGGAGGAGGTCCATCGTCAATTCTCGGACGCCATGAAAGAGCGCCTCGAACCGTTTCGTGGCAACATCCCCGTCGAGCCGCATCAGATGCGTGGTACCTTTGAGGAGTGCCGCTACACGTCGCGCGTGCTCCGCCGTTCCTTTGTGGATTCAGACTCCGAGCGGTCCATAGCCTGTGTGACGCTCGATCTCCACAACACGGGCATAACCTTCCAGCCCGGTGATCGCCTGGCCGTCATGCCACTGAACAGCTGGGAGGAGTGCGCCAAGGTAGCTGCCGCCCTTGGCCTCGATGACATGTTGGACGCGCCGGTACAGCTTGACAGCCGGTGGTCCCGATTCGCAGACCACTTGGACACCGTCGCCAACCACGGGGTCGCCCGCCTCCCAGGTAGCGCCAAGTTGACGGTCAAGGACATTCTTCGTAGAGGACATCTCGCGCCTTTGACCCAGGAACTCGTCCTCAAGATTCATTCCTTGCTGCGCGCCTCCTCCAACACAGTTCTTCAGGTCCTGGCCACGGATGAGTGGCCCGTCCGTGGCACTCTGGGGGATCTTCTCCAGGCTGCCGTGCTTGACACGCCCATGCACGTCTGGGACCAGGCGTTTGAATTATCGAGGGACGTTGCCTGGTTGACCGATCTTATCCCCGTCGAGGTCCCACGGACGTATTCCATCTCCAACTGTCCCGACGAACTGCTCCCCGGCACTGTCGACTTGACAATCTCACGCGCCGAGTACAAGCTCTGCTCGACCTTTGCTGGCAATGCTTCTGTTCCCAGGTCTGGCGTCAGCAGTGGCTTCCTGAACCCAGCCGTCGGCTCGGCTGGCGACTTCATCACGGCAGAAGACGACATTCTCGTGGGCGTCTCTCGTCCCGTAGCCTTTCAGCTGCCCCTCGACGAGGCAGCACCCTGTGCCTTCTTTGCGGGTGGCAGCGGCATTGCACCCTTCAGAAGCTTCTGGCAGTCCCGCGCGGGGCGGGCCGTCGGGCGCAACATTCTTTACCTGGGCGTACAAACCCGTGAGAAGTTCTGCTACGAGGACGAGCTGCGGCGTTATGTCCATGCCGGTGTCATGGAGGTCCACTTGGCCTTCTCTCGCGACAGCCGGGGCCTTGCCTACGACAGCGTCTCGCGTGACCTAGTTGAGCGACGCATGGAGCCACGGTACATTGACGCACTCATCGCTGAACAGGGTGCTACCGTGTGTGATCTTGCCATGTCCAAGAAGCAAGGCGGACTCGGCGGGCATTTATACATTTGCGGATCCGTTGCCGTCTTTGATTCCGTCATGAACGGCCTGCGCAAAGCCATCTACAACCACCGCACAGCCACGATGGAGTCAACTGACCTCATTATCAACACGGCCTTTGCCGAGCGGCGCATCATGCTCGACGTCTTCATGACGCCCAAGCCCTTGCCCTGCAACAAGCCTACAATTCCCCTGTCACAGCTTGCGCTCCACACGGGCCATCGCCCTGGAAGCCGAATCTGGATCGGCGTGCACGGCAGTGCTTACGATGTGACCGACTTCTGCCCGATGCACCCGGGCGGCACGTTGATCCTCAAGTCCAACGCTGGCGTTGACTGCTCTAAGTCGTTCGACAACCTCGCGCACACCAACAACCCCGAGGTCGCAAGCCTCTTGACCAAGTATTTCGTTGGCCACCTCACGCCGAAGCCCGAGTTTCACGACGGCGGCGAACTCAGTGGACTGTACGACCTGTGGGCTGACTACCTCAAGACGACGGTTGAGACGCTTGTGGCACAGCAATTTGAGATGGAGGACCTCATGGGCTCGTCCTTATGGTTCCAGGAGAACATGATTAACATCATGGGGGTGCGCATCTTCTACCAATACCAGTCCCGCCTGCTACAGTCGGGCTTCTCGGCACTTTTCGGCCCCAAGTTCCAGGAGCTCGTGCTCAAATTGTCATTCGCCATGGCCAGCGCAGCGTCATCGGCAGGGTCCGACACAAAGCTACCGGACATTCTGGGTGTGGTCGCACGTGCCAAGACGTCAGCGGATGCCGTGGCAACATCCAAAGAGGTGGCCCTCGTCGGCCAGTACGTGTGCAACAGCGAACCGGCGCGTTTTCAGGAGCGAGGCATCATGGATTACGCCGGGAGGTCCGTGAGCCTTGATATGGCGTTGCTCGAAGACATCAGGGAGGAAGCGTGTCATGGTATGGACGCCTTCGGAACCGTCATGGAGCTCGAAGCGACATCGGACGCGCAACGTGTGGCGGCCATGTGTTCGTTTCTCATGCAGGTGTTGGAGCGCATGGCGAAGCGGCTCGAAGTGTTCTATGCGCAGCTGGCGCAGTGCTCTATCTACAGGCCCGAGCTAGAGCGCAACCCAGCACGTACGCGCTGGGAGCTCGTCAGGCGGCGCATTCGAGACGGATCGCTGTTCGTGTTGGCGCGGCGAGCCGTCATGGAGGTACAGCCGACATATCGGCCGGCGAGGGGCGACGCGGTTGACTTTGACACCGTGCTCTCGCGTGTCCAGCAGACGGTGCGCAGCGCGGCACTGCCGCCGTCGCCACCCCCCGAGACAAAACTCCATGAATCGATGCCACTGAATGAACGCCGGCGAGCGAGAGCGCAGGTGCCGCATGGGGCTCCCTCGGCAGTCGAGCGATATGAAAATGGTAGCGCGATGCGGCGCATGTCTTCGTTTCTGGACAAAAATGCCAAGGCGCTGCGACGACTCAGCGGAATGCCGGCGCTGCCACAAGTACTGGATCTCGAGCAGATTATGAAAGCAGGGCAGGACCACATGGGGTCCAGAGGTGGTATGCCGACGCCGCCATCCAGTCGTGGCTCGAGCCGATCGCCCACACGGGGAGTCGCCGAGGATCTCATGTCAAGGATGAAGCTGAACCGTAGGGGAACAAGTCGCTCAGACTCATCGCTCAGCATGCAAAGGCTGCCGCCTGCGATGGAAGAACCGCTCGACCCGGTAGACGCTGGGGCAGCTATCCGGTCCATGGTGGGCAAGATGAACCTGCGTACACGCAGCACAGTCGGGGTGCCATCGTCGCAAGGGCCAGGTGTGCTATCGGCGGAGGAGAGAACAAGAGCAAGAAGCCGGTCGTCGGGACACAGCGCAGCAGGGTCAATCAGCCGGCCTCGAGGATCGACTAGCACGTTACGGTCGTTTCGCCTGAGAGAGCTCGTCGAGGGGGAGAACCATGTACAGCCCACTTTCTAGGACTGCAAGGGGATACTGATACTCGCCAACTTAGGTAGATGACCAGGTTGATTCGTCGCAGAAAATTTGATAGACGCTGATACGGGAAATTCAAGCCAAGAATCATTGGCTGACTGCAGAAAGATCTCGGTGATGATGATGCTGTTCGTCTATCTGCTCACTCCTTTCTTCCTCATGCTACCTAGTTTGGGGAAGGTACGAAGCACGAAGCACCTGCTTACGTGAGATGGCTCAGGGGCACCTGCCTTCACTCGTTGTTTGGCCAGTCACAGGTCGGAAGCTTCCCCCAGAGCCGTGCCTGCACCTGAAGTGAACCTACTTGAGCCCGAGGCAGTAGGGCGACTGCTCACCTGGGCTCGGCATCATGCCTTGTATCGGCATCTCGGTCCTGCCCCTCTACAAGGCGTCTGCTGCCCAGCTTCTACTTAAAAATGGTCCGTCACGTATTCTCTGTCGTGCTTCTCTTTTTCTATGTCACCGTCTACCTCCGTGTAAGTCTGATGCTGCCAGACAGAGTCTGTCGTTCGTCGACCTTCTCTGTCAACATCACACCCCTGTCCTGGCCAACCCCTCCCCCCTCGGCCTGTATCTGCGACGAGAACTATCAATGCCATGAGTACCATGAGTGCACGCGACGTACGCTGACCATCCTGCGCCCTACGCCCAGTTTCTGTCCTGGCAGCGACCACAACCCAGGTTGAGAACCTAGAACTTCTCTCCTTCATCTTCTTATTTCGCGTCCCAGCAGACCTGGCATCATGTCGATCACCAGCACGGCGACAGCAGAAAATAGCAACGGCGTATTCGTTGCCGGCGACCAGTTCAAGCCGCTGCCTCGTCACCAGCCTCCTTTCCTAGCCCGCGTCTTGTTGGCCAGCAAGCTCTCGGCAATTCAGACCGTCCTCGGCCAGCTGGCCTGGTATGGCAGTTGGCGCGACTACTTTTACCCCCCCCGAAATACGGCCTGACCTTGTCAAGCGATATGAGGTTCGGCCTGCGCTGCAAGTCCGGTAGGTTTGAACAGCTTGAGTTGTGACATCTGCCGAAAGCACCACTAACCTTTTCAGCATCTTCTTCCCCGCTTCGTACGACAAAACTTCCCCAAATCCCCTCCCCACCGTCTTCACCATTCATGGGGGCGGCTTCTGCATCGGCAATTCCATTGATGACGATGTCTGGAATCGCACCTTTGCCGATTGCCATGAGGCTCTCGTCGTGAGCCTCGACTATGCCAAGGCTCCCGCACACGCCTACCCTGGGCCCCTGCATGACCTTGAAGGCCTTTACCACGCCGTTCTCGCCGACGAGAGTCTGCCCATTAATCGCCAGCAGACGGCGCTCCTCGGATTTAGCGCCGGTGGCAACCTCGCTGCCACTCTTTGTCAGCTCGAGTCTCGCAAGGCCCGCGAAGGCAAGCCATCAGCCGTGCCTCGCGCCGTCATCCCCATCTATCCGCCTCTCGACTTTTCCGTTGCAGTTCCCGACAAGAAGCCATCGCGTCGGTTCAAAGAGGGTCTGCTCCCGGGTTTACGGGGTGAGCGCCGCGACTACGTCGCTGACCTTGCGCCCCTGTTTGACTGGGCCTACATTCCCTATGGACACGACCTGCGCGACCCGTTGCTGAGCCCCTGGCACGCCAAAAAAGAAGACCTGCCGGCCAACATCTTTGTTGTGGCAGCTGAGCTCGATTTTCTTGCCTCAGAAGCCTGGACGTGGGCGACCCGACTGGCAGGGCGCGAACCCGTCTCGGGCATTCCTGGACGGCCCGAGGTGGCTAAGACGGAAGAGCTCGAACTTGCGGACGAGAGATTTGCGTGGACGAGCGAGGATGGCGAAGGGAGCAAGCGGTGGCTGCTCGTACCAGACGTGCTGCATGCCTTCGACATGCACCCATCGAGTGCCATGGTCTCGGACGCTGTCACGCTGCGGGATGGCAACGCCAAGGCGGTCAAGGTCATCCGGGTTTTGGGGCAGTGGCTTCAAGAGACGGTGTGGAAGGGGGCTCTGTAACGCGGCAATACCTGTTTTGCGATGCCATCTGGAGGGCATTTGGATTTACGTTTGATCCTTCCTGGCTAGCTATTGCAGTGATAAATCTATGTTACTAGAAACCCTGGATCGCAGCCAAGAATTCCTAGAAACTAATGACACGAAAGAAAACTACCTAGACATCTAAGTCCAGAGACGAACATATCTTTAAAATTATCAATGAAGCAACGAGCGTGGCCAGATATAGCACATGAGACAAAAGTCGTCTGCCATTCGCTGCTGGCCAGGCTCGCTTGCCTCGAAAAGGATCGAACTCGTCTGCGTTTCCAGGATTATCTGCCCGCGCGACGAAGCGGACAGTAGCGGGTCATCTCGAGAATCCTCCGCGGTCTCGAACCTTGACGTGACGACACGGACGTATACTAGAAATATACAAGGCTACTGTTCATTGCCATAATGAGACGGAGGAGCTTGATCCCTGGCCCTTTGGCTGCGGAAAGAGGAAGTGTTCGCCAAGAATGTGGAATGGGTTCGTCGACACAAGGTAAAAGATCAACAGTGTTGTGGTGGGGGGGGCGGGGAGGGGGCGGTTGGAGTTCACATTCAAGAGCTTGAGTACAGCTGAGATAAGGTAGCGGATAACATCGCGGTCAGATAGTAGAAGGATAGGCTGCGTGACGTCAGTTTGGAGATGAGGCGCGGAATCCTTCTTGATCCTTCGCGGGAAGGATGACTTGCGACTCAAGCATGCTGTTGTCGCCTTTTGTACCCGATTTTGGGTCAGGTGCAGGGCCATCCACAGCGTGCGCTAAGGTATGTGCCTTAGTGCTTGTAGCTTGTTGCAAGAACAATTCATCAAGGGAA